TTCTGGAATTGATGCTTTTTGCATATCAAAAGCCATAGTCATGTTTCGCAATATGTTTTTCTTCGTGCTTTGCATGTCAGCGCTCCTTGGGATTTCACTTGGTCACCGCGATTCACAACGAAAGTGCAAAGCTATCCCAGGCACTCCGGAATGGCCATCAAATAGCGATTGGAAACGTCTCAATGCAACCCTAGCCGGGAAGCTTCTCCAGCCATCTGCACCAGGAGGAGTGTGTCATCCAGAACAGAAAAACTATGATCCAACTAAATGTCCTGCCGTCCAACAAGGGTGGACGCAATATCAATTTCATCAGAATGACCCCGTTTCGAGTATGTGGAACCAGTGGAACAATGACACTTGCCTTCCAGTGGTCACTGCTCCATGCAGCGGTACTGGATACCCCGTATATGTCATCAACGCCACCAACGCTCTTGACGTTAAAGTCGGAGTTGATTTTGGTTAGTCGACTTTGCGGAACCCCAAAAGCCCTGACTAATATCTTGCAATAGCAAAAGATCATAACATTAGGTTGATTGTTAAAGCGACCGGACACGACTATATCGGTCGTTCCAGTGCTCCCAATTCTCTCTCCATATGGACCCACCATATGAAAGGTGTCAAAGCCCACGACCGTTTCAAGTTGAACGGATGTAAGATCACAATACAGCATAGTGCTGTCACTGTAAGTGGCGGTTCTGATATGGGGGAGCTATATCGCGAACTCGATAAAATCAATCAGACAGTAGTCGGCGGAAACGGAGAGACAGTCAGTGCTGCTGGGTATCTGACATCTGGGGGACACTCTATCCTGAGCCCGCGATATGGTCTTGGGGCCGACCAAGTTCTTGAAATAGAAGTGGTGACACCGCAAGGGAGGATTGTGACTGCTAATGAGTGCCAAAACCAAGACTTGTTTTGGGCTCTGAGGGGAGTATGTCCTGACGCTCTAGGCCTAATTGAACTAACTGAGACTAACCGGCGTTCTTAGGGTGGCGGCTCAACATTTGGCGTTTTGACTTCGATTACTATGAAAACCTTTCCGACTCCACAGCTTTTACAAGGGACAATTGCGTTCTTCACAGACCCGGATAATCCCCATACATTCGAGTTCGTGTCCTATGTCATTTCGCAATTTCCCTATCTTGAACGGAATGGGGTGTCTGGCTATTCATTTGCATTTAAATCATTTCCGAATCCTCTCAACAGTGCAGTCTTAGTCAGCGGTATTGGTTTGAGCATGGTCATTCAAGACACCCAAAACGAGGACGACATGAGGAAGATATGGAAACCACTTTTTGAGCATGTAAACAATACATGGACCAACGTGACCTTCTTGGAAATATACAGAAAGTATCCTACACAGTTGGCGTGGTTCGACGAAAACAAAGATACACAGAAAGCCGGCTCAGATCAGTATATAGGCTCACGATTGTTGGATGTTGATGCTATCACGAAGAATCTGACGGCTCTGTCTCTTGTATTCAAGAGTCTGTCTGCTGGTGGTTCCGCAAGTGCATATTTGGTCACTGGCAAGGGCGTCTGGGATGCCAAACCTCGAGGTGGGGGGAACTCTGTTTGCCCAGCCTGGCGCAGGGCAATTGTCCACGCAAGTAAGTGTTGTCAGACCGTTCTTCAGTTCCTGGTTATTTATATTTTACTGCAGCAACTGGCATCGAATTTGCACCATTGAACTACACGGCCAAAATCGAGGCACAGAAGACAATCAACGGGAGGCTGGAGTCAGTCAGAAGGCTGGCCCCGAATATGGGTGTCTATCAGAATGAGGTGAGTGTCGACTTCAAGGTTCTCCTTAGCGGGATAAGAGACGTTGACTCGTGTAGGCATATCCCTACGAACCGGACTTCGGTCAACAATTTTGGGGGGGAAATTACCCCAGGCTCCTGGCAATCAAGCGCAGCTTTGACCCAACTGATGTCTTTTGGTGCAATCCATGTATCGGGAATGAACGCTGGATGGAAATGGATAACAAGTTATGTCAAAAGTAAAAGAGGTTGGGGAGCTAGCCACTATATCATGATACATTCTGCGATGGAAAATGAATCACAACTGTAGGGGGATCTAACTTACTGATCAGGGGTAGAAGATGTTATCAACAAGAGTTAATAAATCACCATGTTGCTAAGGAACTACAGCCCGGGTTTCTGTTAAGGGTCAGTCGTCACAGTCGGGCTAGCCGCTTTTGAATTCTCCAAGGAAAGTGAAAGACCATGAGCTCGTCAATCTTTCCCTGAGCATCAGTGTAATAGATAATCTTTTTCAGTTTCTGGCTACAAAAACCTGTGCCCATGCCTGTTACCTGAGAATCTTCAAGCATTTACCATTTCCGAGCGACCGACACCCGACCTAGTGCTGGCGCCCTGTGGTTTCAGTCAGAACGGAACAATATTGACATCAGTTATTAAAGCCATTATTCCAGCCCGTTTGATATCATCGCATAGCTGTGAGTCGCTATGTTTCACCAGCTCCTTCTAGACCAAATGGGGGGTTATCCCGGCTAGCCCGTGGGCACGTCGGGAGCTCAATGTCTTACATATCGACGGAGCAGCTGCCGCGATTGCTAACCTTTCTCCTTTATCTTACCATACCGACACTAGTAAGAACTTTCGTAAGTCTGTTAACATCCATGTGGAGACACTATGCAGACCCATACCGAACGTTGTCTACGATGGCCTATCAACTGGTTGACGAACCTATAATTTTATGTCATTCTGACCTGTCAGTAAATAATCATCTGTGCCCGGGATCAATCATACAAGTGACTGGAGGGCTGGGCTGAACCCACGCTTCTGGAGCTGACCGGTTAAGAAAATGTTGTGGCGGGAGTCTAGAACCAAGTAGGTTTCAACAGCGGGACATATGTGTCAAATATCGACTCAAGAATAAAGTTTCCATGTGAAACAAACCCAATTCGCATTTCTCATGGCTTATTGGGGCTGACTGAAACAGCCTATGGGGCGCCTAGAGCCGCCACTTATACAGCTCGAAAAGGTATTGATTTTCAGGCCAAGAGATCATGGCAATTGTAATTAGGCAACGAGAGAGGATGGTTAGACTCAACTCAGATAGACTAGTACCTTTGATGTATATATAATAGGAGAGACTTTCATGGCTACATCAAGACACAAACCTGCACACAGGCAAAGGCAGTCAGAAAAAGCAAAACGGGAGCTGCTTGTGCTGCTTACCTATTTAAGGCGCATCGATTCTTCAGTGTCACTTTCTAATTTCTATTAATAATCTCAAGTTCACGATGGCTGCTCAGCCAGTTACAAATCCAATCGTTCCAGAGACTCGTCTTCCATCTTTGGAGGATTCCATCAAGGAGCTTGGTGAACGTATCAAAGATCCCAGCAGCGATCTTCCTGCAGAAGAACTGCCTGGGCTTGACAAGCTCATAGATGATTGGTACGATGAGAAAACTTATGTGAGCGAAGAGGCATTTGCTCGGAGAATACTCCAGGTTTTCCAAAATTCCAATCATAACGAGGTATACAAAGACGTGGTGGATAAACTTCCATCAGAAGTACATAAGACCACCCTTGAAGACTTTGTCTCTGGGAGAATTACTGCTGAAGATGCGGGAAAAGCGCTTGCACTCGAGGCGCCGACGGTGCAGACACATACCGAGGAGGTACTAAGCGAGGCAGCTCCTCTGATGAGCTCTACTTTGAGCTTGTCCAAGCAAGTGAATACTTCAGAGACAAAGAAGATCCGAGTGAGTTTAGCCTTTACACATTTCATGGTCCGGATCTAATCTGCCCAGGGGCAAGCCGATGACCAGCTATTTGAGAACTGGGGTCGCACTGTGAAAAATACACCAGCGATTACGTATTACCCCGAGAATATTGCAGAAGTTCAAACTATCGTGCTTGATGCCGTAAAAAACAACATGGGTGTTAGAGTGTCTGGTTTTCGTAAGTGCTAGAATTTCTGGTGTTTCCGCCTTCTAATCAAGCGTAGGTCACTCCTGGGCTCCAGTTTTCGGGCGAAATAATAGCAAAGGTCAAAAGAACAACGGAGATGTGCTTATCTCGACTTTGTCCTACCGCAATGCAGCGGTTCTACCTAATTTCACCTCACTGCCTTCCAGCCTTTGGCAACCCAAAAGCACCGAACTCAATGATATCAGGGAGGTAGATGCTACTTACGTGGGAGGTCAACCTCTTACAGGGGGCCGTAAATACGTTCGTGTAGGCACGGCTACAACTAATGAGCAATTCCGGCGTTGGTGCATCGACGAAGGCCATGTAACTTTACCACTAAATATTATTGAGGTGGAGATCACTTTCGGTGGCAGCAACGCAACTATTTGGTATGTTACATGACAACACATTTTGAAGTCTAGCTGACGTTAAAGTCACGGAGCTGGTATTACCCATCCGACACTCAGTGACCTCGTTCGATGTATCGAGTACATCGATGTCCACGGGCAATTACGTACTGTCAACATGACCAATCCGGACCTGATGAAGGCCGCAAGTGGATGCTTTGGACTGCTTGGTGTTGTAACTCATATCACTCTCGAGTGCGACGCGATGTCCACGGCAGTTATGCGTCCGACGAAATTGGACGTCATTGACGCAATCCCACCGCCTCCCGACATGAAAAACTCGGAAATCCCTGAAGTCTTGCGTAAAGATCGTACAGACCAACAGAAGCAGACTGCTCAGGCAAACTTCGAGCGTCGTGCAAACAATGACTTCTATGCCGAATGGTTTTGGTTTCCATATTCCAGTAAGGTATGGGTCAATACATGGTCAACAGATAACAATACAAAGGATGTCGTCAACTATCCGAGTAACGCAAAAACTTTCATACAGGTCATAGGAACCGCGATTATGAATATGGGGCAGAATATATTGCAGAAAATTGATGCACTCCAGGCCAAACCTTATGCGCAGACCGCGTTTCTGTGTCAGTACTGATATCATTTCCTACCTTATTGACATTGGACTGAGAATAGAAAAGCTTGGCTAGCAATGAAAAACCTCGATGAGCGGAAGGAGAACGAAAAGCCGATAAGGACGTTGCTTCCCAATGCTCTTCACTTTCAACGAGGTGTGCAAAACATTCGGGTACGAGACATGGAGGTGGAGCTTCCGGTGAGTCTTCTACAGTAAACATGCTGAGATCTACACTAACCTTCGTACCAGCTTCATGCTAAGAAAGGCTCGACCAGTGAGCGCGACTACACTAACGTTCAGCGTGCTTGGTGGGACGCAATCAAGGCATGCTATGATAGTGTTCACAACTGTCCCCAGAGAATGCCCTTGGAAATGCGCATAATGGGATCTAGCGAGATTACCATGGCACCACAGCGAAATCACAAGCTCGGGACATGCGCAATTGAAATCTTGACTCTGAAAGTAGTCGCTGATATTTGGGAACCATATGCCCAACAAGTTCTGAACAAATGGGCTAGCTACAAGGACAACGATAACAACCCTGTTGTTATTAGACCGCATTGGGCTAAAGAATGGTACCCCTATAATATTGATGGCAAGCCCTGGATCGAAAAGCTCAAGAATGATACCTACAAGAACGAAATTGCCGAGTTCAAGGGTTTGTTAGCGGCAGTCGGCAAACTTCATGGCTGGACCCTTGCAGATCTTAAGAAGACGTTTTCTAACGAGGTTTTGGACTATCTGTATTTGGATGGTGTCTGATATTCTGATAAAGGAATTATTGATTGATGCCCCATAGAAAATTGCTAAGGCAGCGCTGCTCAGCTTGAAGCAGCAAGCGCTATCACCTCTGACGACCCAACTCAATTCTGGTATGCTTCAGTTTTATCTCTTAGTTTCTGATATGCCTAGCATAATGAATTGGCCTGATTAAATATTGGCCAGAAATTGATAGTCTAATCTACTGTACTTCTATGATCCACTAGAACTTCTTTTGAAACTTGAGGTCTTTGATATCATCACGACCATCGACCCGAACGCGCGAACTACGAATATCGGATCTCGCCAAGAGCTTCTCATATACTACAGAGAACTCTGTGGCGCTGGTTACTCCATGCTGTTTAGCATCCTCGTCTACCTCAACTCGGAAGGCAAGATAAATTTCATTAAAGCGGACACTTGTGTTCTCATTCTCACGGGAAGCCGCCGTGGCCATGGAGTATAAAGGGCCTTGAGTCATAGCCGGTAGCGGATAGATAGCTAAGTCTCCCTGTGACCCAGTGCATAGTGTCCATGTGGTGGCAGGGTTGTTCTGCTCCAAGAGGTAGCCGATAGTTTCACGATAAGCAACTGAGATATCTCATTAGAAGGCCACAGGGCGACAGGAGAATGGGAAATATATACGAAAGTTGGCTTGAAACCCGGAGCCCATGTTTCGTTGCAGCTGGCCTGGGCTGATATCTTTGAGTGGCAATGGTATGTATTCAGGTCCAACTTCAATCTACGTTAGTGATTAGGATGCTTGACGGTAGTACAGGGTACCAACCACAGGAGAAAACATGCTGAAAAGCTGGCAACTTGCCGGCTCGGACCTGCTCAACGACGCCTCGCACGCCAGATTCGGAGACAACATCGGCCTCCGTGAAAGTGATTCCTTCAGAAGTTCCCACGTGCTTAATGAGCTTGTCCGCCGAGGTCTGGCTTCTAACAATGGCCAGAACATTGCGCTTAGAGCGCAATGCTGCCTTGACGACCGAGACGCCAATGTTTCCGGTTCCCCCTACTAGTAGAACAGTCTCCATTGTGATTAGAAATGGCAATCAGAACTTGAATATCTTTGCAGAGCTCAAGCCATTTCTCATATGAGAATCTGATCTCTTTTTATATTGTCGTTCTATATCACCAAGATGGACATAAATACTTGCCAAATTCATATTAGTCCCCTTTATTTCATAGTGCCGAGGTGGACATAAATGCTTACCATATTCAATTTAGTTCCCTTTTCGGAGGTCGGTGTCTTGGCGTTTCCGCAGCTGGGAGTGGAGATGACAAATCGTCGAGATGTCGGAGGCTTTGCATACCAGCCGAGCTTGAGATACACGAGAGCTACCTGACCTAAATTGCGCGGACGCAAGAGCTGTGGAGTGCCTGATGATGCGTTTTGTGATCGTGGGTGAGGCTGAGGCGTAGTAGGCTTCTTGTGTGTATAATACTAGAAAACCCTTCTGTCGCGATTTCGCCTGCCCGAAATAACAGCCCAAACTCATGAACCCTGTTAACTGATTCTTGCTGTCTGTGACCTTGAAGTCATGCGGCTCCAGGAGACCGAATTGCTGATTAGCCGTACTGATGTTTCTTTGAGTCGGCAGTAAATAGGCGAGTCGTATATGCCTCTGGTCACGCAATGTTTCGAATTGTCATCCAAAACGGAGTCGGAGCTTTGACAATTGCAGGCTTATATGCATGCTTAGATACACAAATAAGGTAGAGGTGGAAGGGCAGCAAGAAGAAAATTCAACGATAGGTACATGCGGCATCCGCATTTTGCTATGTCTCGAATGTAGATGATCTCTGTGGTGACCTCATGTTGGGGCCGCCCCAGGGTAAGCGGACAGCGATTAAACCGCTTATGGACCAGAGTATGCCCCTTTCATCTGTGCAGAGCTTCTTCCGAGTATCTCGCGGTCATGTGCTGGAAGTCATCTGGTTAGAGTGCACCAGAGATAACCCCAAAAAGGTTTTGAGTCAAGGAGCGTAAGACGTGTTAGGATTTTCAAAGTCTGGTCAACATCGAGTTGTGCATTGTATGACTGGGAGGATTTGTTTTATTTCGTGGTAAATGAGACGAACTAAATCTCTGCCACCTTTGCCGAGCCGAAAGCAGTACCCTTGTGCTACCGCTGTTGCACGAAGATCACCATCTCGTAACAAGCTACACAATTTATGGCCACGCCTTCTCCCCAGGCTCGTCTCTTTACGACCCTTCAAAACAAATATCACCTTGTCCAGATCTGTGATGACTTCGCAGCCGGTATCACAAATGTAGCATCGCCGCCAACGGGGTCTCTTCTAATGATAACCATTGGTGTAGTGAGCCTGGGTATGTGGCTGGGGGGAATCGTCAAAGTATCGATGATAGCACGCTTGTTTGGCAGATATTCGAGCAACAGGATCATAGACAAGCATCATCTCTAGCAGCTCTAGTCCGGCATCGTCAAGGTTCGTGCAAAGGGGTGCATCATAGTCTCGCGTCCATTTGGGGAAAGACGGCTTGAAGTCGGGGTACGAGGTGACGCCTGGCCAGACCTCTTCGGTTGGGGTGCCGAGAAGGCTATCGCAAGTTAGTGTTCACGTCGATGTGACCTGGGAACGGGGTTAGCATACCGGAAGATCTTGAAGATCTCGTCGATCTCCGAGTCGCCCGGGAAGAGAGGCTTCCGCGTGCACATTTCGGCAAAGATGCAGCCCGCCGACCACATGTCTACGCCAGTAGAGTACTGCCGGCCACCGAGCAGAATCTCAGGGGCGCGGTACCAGAGCGTGACCACCTCGTGCGTGTACGTGCGCAGCGGGACGCCGAACGCGCGCGCCAGGCCAAAGTCTGCGAGCTTCAGGTTGCCCTCCCGATCGATGAGCAGGTTCTGCGGCTTGAGGTCGCGGTGCAGGATCCGGCGGCTGTGGCAGTAGCGTATGCCCTTGCAGAGCTGGCTCATGAACTTCTTGATGATGGCGTCGCCGAGCCCGAGGCGGCTGAGCTCGGGGCCGGTGCCTGCGGGGAGGGCCTTGCCCCGGCCGCCGTCGGCGACAGGCAGCGACTCCATGTACTTCTTGAGGTCCAGGTCGAGGAACTCCAGCACGAGGTACAGCTTGTGGCTGTCAGCGACGACGATGTTGAGCAGGCGCAGCACGTTAGGGTCGCGCATCTCCTTCATCAGGCTGATCTCACGGATGGCCGTGGACGGTACGCCTTCATCGTCGTCTTCAAGACGGATCTTCTTGAGCGCGACGATGCGGCCTCCATTGGCCAGGTCGCGTGCTTTATACACGACGCCATAGGTGCCTTTAGAGGAGGGGAGCGAGGGGGTGTTAGTCTCTTGTTTCTTTTGGCAGCGCATGGTTGGTGCACTTACCCTCGCCGACCTTCTCAAGTTTTTGGTAGTTCTCCATGAACGGAGAGAGTCAAGACAAGACCAGCAGTTCCTACTATACTACTGCAGGGCACAAGAGGCCTCAAGGTAGATGTAGTATATGTATCTGGCAAGATGAGTCGAAGAGTGAGAAGCCAGTCATCAATGTCTTGTTTCGGCTATGGAAGAAGGGGAGAAGGGGGGCTTCGCGGGTCAACCAAGGGAGGGGTATGTCGATACCAGATACCAGATACTAGATGAGGAAATGTTGCGGAAGGGAAAATTGTAGATGGCAGGCCTTCAAGTTCTTGCCATATTGCCAGTCATGGAGATCAAGAAACGCATCTGCCTCCAAGACACAAGAAAGATAGCAATGGTTCTGAAGAGCACCGGTGATCGTTGTTTGCTAGGACTGTTGAGGGGAGATTTGCATTTCCCCAGGGGGGCTAGCCGCCCAATAGGTAGCCACGGTAGCCTGCCCAACGCTGATGGTTGCTATTTACAGGCGGGGAAGAGCCCGCCTTCACAGTGCTCTACGCCCCCGAGCACGCGTGTACTGCACTGTACACACCTGAGGTCGTGTCGTGCAGCCCCGCATGGGATAGATGGCCACATTAAATTCTCAACCAAAGCCCATCACAACTTGACACTTTCCCTTTCACTGTTCAACAAACATCTTGGTCATCCTCCGTCTCATCCTCATCCTCATCGTCCGCTGGCGACCTCCGCTGGCGTTGGTCCCAGGACTGCTTCTACATACACATACACAATATGGGAAGTAGCGAGGGCAGGCAGGTAGGAGGTAAGTTGGAGGTAAGTTGGCTGGGGTCTGGGAAGAGCCGACCCCCGAGGAGAAGCTTGTCAAGTGAAAGCGATGCCGACAATGAGGTCTCTCGCTCGCTCTTATTTCGTCTCACCAGGGCCTCACTCATCTGACGCGAGTTCGAGTCCGGCGAGCAAGCTTCCCCGCTTTGATTTCGATCGAGCAGTCAAAAGCACAATCACCGCCTGGCAGCGCGCGTTGACGATGATGACACAGCCAGGAAGGTACGGCCAGGCCAGAGCAGCTTTCGTCGGACAGTCAGCCAGCCAGCCAGCCATCATGAAGCGGTTTCTGTTTCCCGCCGATGCAGGGCCCCGACGCGCGATGATCAGGCGACTCGCTGGTCCCCCGTTCATGTTCATGATGCTGGCATTTGGAGACGTGGGACCAGCTCGAAGTTTCTGACGCACGATATGAGCGGCTGACTCTGGCATGTCCGTGACATTAACAAGACTATTCAACAGGCACACCGCACTTCGATTTCACGGCGTTTTGGGGCTTCAATCGCCTCAAACCTTTGCGAGGACAGTTTTGCCTGCTTTACAAGGCAGGATTTCTTGGTGCTCGCTGCAGAAACCCGCACTACCAGCGACGCGTCCGCCATTGGACCGGAAGGAAATGATGGACCGACAACAAAAAGCCTGCACTGTGCGCGCCGTCCAGACACAGACACAGACACAGACACAGGGGTGCGAGATACGACAACGCGCGCGCCGCTCGCAACCTGGCCAACCATCTCACGGGATTATTGGCCCCTTTCTCGCACTATCGACCCAGCAACATGGCATGACGTGCTTGAAGACATGGCTGCTCTCTTGCGTCTCGGTTGTGACAAATTGAAGACATGCATCACTCACCAGCCTGCATCTGCGTGGTGGAACCATGCTTGTGCGGTCACGACTAACTAGGTGCAATGCAATAGACTAATGAGCAAATCTGGGCTTTTGACGCGAGTCCGAAGAACCGAGCAGTGTCAGCCGGAGGATGTTGCCAAACCACCACGCTGTGGCAAGCAGAGCATATGATGGGAGGGGGAGGCGTTTAACTGGATACCACTAGAAAGCGCCGCCGCCGTGTGCGCGTCCGTATATAGTATGCTGTTTGATATGTGGTCGACTGAGTGTCGACGTTGGCATGTCAACATGACTTGCCTGGGAGGTGACGCTGCAAAGCCACCTGCCACCCGGCTTCGAAAGTCACTTCATTTGGGCAGCGGGCGACGTGCTTTCTTCCGCCTCGAGAATGCGCCAAATCAGAGGCGCTCGAGAGTTTCAAAAGACCGGATCGCGCATGTGAGGTGGAGGAGAGGGTTCCGAGCAAGTGCCGCAGAATCCTCTCGAAGTCCAGGCTCACACGAAGAGGGAGAGCCCGCTTGGGAAGGTCTTTGGAGCTGAACAGGGTCGCGGTGATCTCCTAACCCTGGAACAAGGGACGCATCCCGATTGCCGCATCGCACTCAACAGGGGCCTCGATGCGATTTTGCTCCCTGTGGCATCACGCACAACACTCCAATCCGCAGCGCAACTCGAGACCAAGAGATGTCTTGTCACCTACATTGCTCTCTTTGGTCTCCTCTCACAATCTGTACTTACTGCAGGAGTTTTTTCATTCTCTCGTTTTGCCGCCGCCGTGGCTACTTCTCGCTCTGCTCAGCCTTTTCTCGGCAAGTCTTCAGCAGCGCCTTCCGAGCGCTACTCGGTGCTGATGTCGCAGCGCATTAGCGGCCTACGTGGAATGGATGGACGACTCCTCCCTCTCTGTCAGCGAGGCTCCCACCATCACGACTTGCACTAAAATCCGATGCGTAATGTTGCCATGCCACCAGACGGCCACTCCCACAGCAACGAACGTCGAGGACTGACTTCCAGCCCCTTTTCATCGCTTCCTGCTATTGCCTGTTGTTCTACAACCGCGAGGAAGTTGATGGGTATGCTAGGACGCACAGCCTGTTTCTTTGAGAGATTTGCAGCCCAGTCGCCAACACCGCCACCGCACTCCAGACAGTTGATCTCGTCCATTATCTCCTCGTCCATAGGAGCACTGAGGTGAATGAGCCTATCGAGCCTAATGAAACGCGCGTCAGAACGAAACTAGGTTGAGACTCCATTGATGCAAGCTGTCCCCCCGTCACCGACCATTAGACGAGCAAGATTGCGAGAGCGATAAACCTTTCTCTTCAGTAACGAAACCCAGACTTTGTGTTCCACAAAACATCGTCTAATCCATCATTGGGCATCTGCGAGGCTCAAAGTCTAGGGCATGATCACGATCCTCAGTCCTTTCGGTGTCAACAGTATCTAGACTAGTATATCCGGGGGAAATACTTACAATAGAGTCTACCATGGGCAAATGCAGGGTCCTTATCCGACGAGTGGGCAGCATCATAGGCCACCCGAATCCAACCGGTTCTCTCGTTCTCGCGGTCACGCAACGCTCCATCCCCAAGCGCGGCACAATGACAGCCAACAATGGCATGGATATCAACGACCGTCTCATCAAGAGTAGATGTTCTACCAACTCCATCATATGCACTTTGTCGCTGACTTCAAAACAAGCCAATCTCATTCCCAATACCCCAGAGGTCCGCCCAGCCAGTCTCGCCCAGATTCTTTACCACAATACGACCCACCAGCGTGGCCCATCTCGCAAAATAGATACCCTGCTGCGCCATCGAGAGGGCTATATCGTGGCGGCCGCGGGGGAATGAGAGGTAACTCCTCTAGCCGTAATAGACACGGTCTTCCAAAAGCAACTCTGACAGCGGTCAAGCAAATGCCTATCTTCCGCTTCGCAGTGACAACATGAATTCTGTGACGACGTCGAACCTCGCGGCCCCAAACTCAGCTGCCAATCGGGTCGTCTCGACGATTGCTACTCAACCCCTTTTCCGCCCATCAAAGGAAAAGGAAATACAGCTCGATAATGAGGAACTTTCCAAGGAAACGACTAACAAAGTCGATCATATACTACCTCCAACCCAACAACCACCGACCAGTCCACGGGCATCGAAATTCAGCTTCTCCTTCAAAGCAGCTGCCAAGCCCTCCAATACACGACCGAACAACGAAATTATTTATAGGTTCAATGCAGTATCACAACGTCGCGAGGGATTACAAAATGAGGATAAGGATCGAAGAGGATTGTTCTCCAGTGTCCCGACAGAACCTGCGTCGTCAAGAGCAAAGGCAGAACAGCAGAGACATGCTAGCAGGCCGCCATCTGGATTCCGGAAGGTCGTGAAGATCATGAAAAGACCAAAAGAGCGGCCTACACTGCCTGAGGACCTTGCATCATCGCCCTCCATATACTACCGTGCAGCAGGAGACGGGTCTGTCATCGGTTTCGGAGCCTACGGAAAGGTCTTTAAGGCCCAGCATGTCTATACGAAGAAGTGTGTGGCGCTGAAAAGAATCCGCGTAGATGAGAGCCGCGATGGGCTGCCAATCTCGGCTATCCGTGAAGTCAAGATTCTCCAGTGCTTAAATCACCACAATATTCTCAAGCTCCGGGAGGTCATGGTGGAGAAGAATGACTGTTACATGATCTTGGAATACTTGCCTCATGATCTTGCTGGCTTACTCAACCACCCATCGTTCAGGTTCGACACCGCTCAGACGAAGGATCTGATCAAACAGCTTCTTGAAGGGCTAGATTACCTACATCAACGGGGCGTTCTGCACCGCGACATCAAGACTGCCAACATACTCGTTGACAGCGACGGCACCCTCAAGCTCGCAGATTTTGGGCTTGGTCGATACTACGATAAGCATCGCCAGCTGGATTACACTAACAGGGTAATCACCATCTGGTACCGGCCACCCGAGCTGCTCCTCGGAGAGACTCAATACGGGCCGGCAGTGGACATATGGAGCGCTGCCTGTGTGATGATCGAAATTCTTGATGGTTGTGTTGTTTTCCGTGGTGGCGGCGGCGAGATCAGCCAGCTCGAGACGATCTACGCTCTACTGGGCACACCAACGAGGGCTGAGTGGCCTGCGATAGTGGATAAACCCTGGTTTGAGCTGCTCCGACCGGAACATAAGAAACCCAACATCTTCTCGGCTAGATATCAGGACCGAGTGTCGCCCGCAGCCCTTGAGCTCCTGGCCACCATGTTCGCGTACGACCCTGCTAGGCGGCCCACGGCGTCCGAGGCTCTGCAACACGCATATTTTGCGACGGAAGAACCAGCTCCACGGCGAGCTGTCGAGTGCGTGTTGAAACCGTCTCTGTATCATTAATGGCATGATGACTGACCCGTATTCCTAGGCTTGCAACTCTTGACGGAGAGTGGCATGAGCACGAGTCCAAAGCGTTGCGGCGTCAGAACGAGCGTAATGAGAGGCAGGAGGCAAGGAAGTCACAGGCCGATGACGCCGATGGGGTCCGGGATAGGGATAGAAAACGGCGGCTCGAGAACGCCGAGTCCCGTCGTGGATCCAAGCGGCGAAACGGCGACGAGAGGGCTGACTAGCGCCTCTTGAGGCAGAATTGAGGTCGGAAGACGATGTACACGGTAGCAAAAGCAGTGTCTTCTCAAGTGATGATTGGTTCAACATGAGACAGCAGACTCTTGAAGCTTGTATGCAAACTCGCATTGGCTAGCATATTCCGAATGTAGCTCATATTCGTCCGATGCAACTTCCGTGCCCGATCTGCACCGGCACAATTACATGTCCGATCATGAACATCTTGTGAACCGTATGTTCTTGCAAAAATTGGTATACCATTGATTGATTTTGTCTGTGTTAAGCCTGTTGCTTAACATTCCGTTAATGAGTCCGCTCGAAGATCGCGTCTAGATTAGGCAAACGCTATACCCGGAGCGAACTTTCCCCAGCCTGGTATGCTCGTATCTCCGCGAGTACGAAAGCTGTAATGCGCTTCAATCAGAATCGTAAGACTTTGTCTAAACTACTCCGAGTGCCAAGCCAAATGATGAGGGGACTCAAATTTCTTGACTAATATTCGTCCAATCGAAAACAACTGGAACCGACAGTAACTAATTATTCACGTTCATGACACAGGTTGCTAGTTTCTCTAAACAACGAGCTCGATAAAATACCGGCATTGAAATAAAGGTTTACTATACCTACGGCCTTTCAACGACACCTTACATGTCCGAGCTACGAGGATCTTCTACCCCTGCCTGGGGTCTATCTGAAGTCAAGCTACGTATCCCTAAACTACCCTCTTGTCATGTTGACTATGTGTCCGCCTACACTCAACCAAGTATCGACGCCAGTGCCGTAGCACAAATGAGGGCAATCCCGAAGGCCAAACCTCCCTCAGTGGGAAGTGAACCACTACTGCTACCAGCAGTAGATGTCATCGACGCATCCACACTCGTAGTAGCATTGGCGTCCTTTGTATAGTTGCCGATCAGGGTCGAGTTCGCTACTAAGGGAGCCGCGGCCGGGTCGTATGCGGAACATGTGTCGTTGACGGCAAAAAGGCAGTCGGCGGCAATGCAGATTGCCTGAAGTTGCGGCCCTTGATCTTCTGGCACCCAAGAAATGTTCCGAAATACAAGTACGCACGGGTGAAGAATACACTGCAATCTCCTGTTAGACACACGGCTAGCCTATATCGATAACTCTTCGTATTGTTGAGGGGAAGCCACATCCCCGTTGCTGGGTTTCAGGTTGCGTGCAGCATCCAGTCCTCCGGCGCCAAAGAAGTTGACTGCCTCACCGCTGTCCTTGCCCGTGTTCGCCGACGCGAAGCCGCCATTAAAGTAACCATTCAGACTGACAGCCTCGCCATGGAAAGTGGTATCTGTCAGCGCGCCGGTGAAACCGGGAACAGGGACCGTGTTGTACTTGAAAATCGGGCCTAAGAGTGCCGAGTGAAGGACCAACGCCACCAGGATCCGCTCATTCTCAGCCGTATTAGACCCAACCGTCTTCTCAGCATAGTGATCGCAAGGAGTTGTAGTGTTGGGACGCTCCTGCGCAGTTGCGAGTACTGAAAGGTATAGAACAGCGAGTGCGCGTGACAAAATCATGGTGAAGAGGAAAGACTGCTAGTTCTAACAACCGCATCGAGTGTGTTGAATGTCATGACACATTTCGTTGGCAGTGAGCAACATCTTTTATAATCTTGAATGGGCCTGGAGAATCACTCTTGAGACTATAATATTGAGACTGGATAGGCAAGCCGAGCCCGCTACAAACACATGAGGAGGCTGCGACTTCCAATTAGCGACAATCCACTAATCAATTCAACGTAAGCAGAGCTATCCAGCGTCACTCACTGTTTGAAGTGCTTTCTCGTCACCAGTAACATCACACCTATTCCAGATCAGCATCTTGTGGCTTGCATGCTCCTGAACTCTCACGTTTCGCAGAGCTTTGCTGTAGCAAATAAAGGAACTAAAGCTGACGGCAGAAAATCGTGTACCTGCCAAGCCACAAACACTCACACTCAGCTCGCGCATTCTAATTGATATTGGACGCGGCTTGCGAGGCCCTCGGCTGACACCGACAAAAGGTTGTCGCCAGACCTATCCGAGCGCTGTACAGTTTTACATTACTCGCTTGATATAATTAAGCGTTCTGTTTGATAATCTCAGCATTGCCAATTCCAGCTTTCACAGATATGGGTCGCTAAACTTTCGAGACTCTGTTTATTCTGTTTTCATATATTTCTCTATGTTAAAGATCAAAATGAAGGATAAAGTGCAAAATATATAGATATAGATATATATGTATGTTTCACCCATGAAAACTTGACCTCCTCTTCCAATCGAATATCTTCCCCGGATTCATCAGCCAGTGCGGGTCTAGGCTCGTTTTGATGGCCTGCATAACCTCAATAGCCTCTACTCCAACCTCAAGTGTAAGGAAGTCTTTCTTTCCTAGACCAACACCATGCTCACCCTAAAATGTCGCATCATGAGCTTGCTGAAGATATTGTGGGGGAGTTCGACGTTGACTTACGGTGCACGTTCCATCCATCTCTAAAGCCCGGTGCACCATTGTGTGTACACAGTTCTCCACGCTCGCACGCTCTATCTGACCGTCGAACAATATAGTCTCGTGAAAGTTTCCATCACCTACATGGCCCAAAATGCTTCCGAAAAGAGCCGTGCTGATCAAATCCTTCTGCGAGAGTTCTACGCAGTGAGTCAATCAGAAACAGTTGCTTCAGTCTGCTAGAATGGACTCAATAAACACACCTATAAGCTCTGCCACTCTGGATAAAGGTACTGCGACATCAGTTGCCCATACCTCGTTCCCTGTTTGACGCAGTGAAAGCATGCTCCAAAGAGCCTGTTTCCGCGCCGACCACAATTGTTCCTGCTTGGCGACATCATCCTCAAACAAAATGTCTAGAATGTCATACTTGGAGGCAATGCGGCGGACCCGATCTATACTATCAACCACCGTGGCTGAGCTGCCACTGAATTTGAAAAAGAGTGTTGGCGCCTCCGTCCACGTTCTTGAAGTGCTTCCTGCACGGTTGATTACACTCATTTGTACATCGTCGAGGATCTCAACAGCTCTAATGTGAATGCCTTTATGTATGACATCGACGGCCATGCTAGCAGCATCTTTGATCGTCGGAAATGCTAGCACGGCTACGCCGGTTTTCTCGGGTATGTTTGTCAGCTTCAACGTTGCCTCAGTCACCATGCCTAGGGTTCCTTCGGACCCGACGAAGAGTGAATTTAAATTATATCCTGCAGAGGACTTTCTATAAGTTCAAAGATATCAGCAAATTGTTCAGTAGGATATCATTCTAAAGCTTGTTTCAGGACATACCGGGGTCTTTTCTTGGTTTTTACGACTGTACCATCACACAGTACGACAGTTAAATTGATGACCCAGTCTTTCATCGTACCATAGCACACTGCGTTCGTGCCGCTTTTATCATGATCAGCCTAGAACCGCCATCTATGCAAGTAGATTGCTCCTCACCTACAGTTCGTACCAATCATGCCACCAATCTGGGCCTGGTTCTCTAATCAGCCTTACAATTCCAGTAACGGCTATCCTGAGGAGTTAATACTGTTGGGCCAGGATCGACCGGAAAGAAAAGGCCGCTGTCTTTGATCTTCTCGTTGAGATCCATCCACGAGACTGCTGGCTGCACTCGAATGTCCATACTATGTCGCAGGTTGCGTCAGTCAATCATAGGTTCATCTATACAGACACGCAGCTCACTCTTCATAATTAAACTCGATTATTTGATTCATCATCATGAAATCCACGCTGATACCACCATAGGGGGTAGAAAACTGTCCTTCCACACTCGATCCTCCGGAATAGGGAACTGTCTCAAAATCAGCCTTTACCTCAAATCCTGATCTCCATCTGGACATCTCGTAAAATTTTAGAAGTTTGAGCATGGTACTCACTAATTGGTATTTTGTGTTGTGTGCATATCTTAGCAATAGCTACTACCTCCTCTGTCGACTTAGGATAAGCAACTGCGACTGGTAGTCTGTCGCTGTTAATATTTGACCACTCTGAGTAGCCATGAGCCATTAGGACTTCATTATCTGTGCTAATGCTGTCTTTTCCAAGTGTGTCTTGAATCTGATGGACTGCCTGATAAATTTGTTCAAAAACAGTCCGTTATCAGCAAAGCCGCATTGAAAATTTCATAGACGGTGCCCTATGACAGGTGCATGCTCAAGGTCAATAGCTAATAGCACTTACTCTTTGCATCTCGGCCACTGTAGCGTATACGGGCTCGGACATCGATGAACAAGCCTGTCCAAGGTTTGAGGAACGGTGCTGAGCCCCAAATGCCCATCCTCCTATACCAGCAAAGATTGAGACTAACAGTAGCAGAGGAATAGGTCTCTGCGGTGCATCGGCCTTGGGTAGCCCACTACCAGTGGCAATACTCGAATAGGTAGGCAAGTGGTGTGGGCGAGAATGTCCATATATCCTATGCCGATTATGAAAAATCCCCAAATGCCGACCCGACAGAGTATCGAAGCTCCTTTTGGCCGCACGACCGACCAAATGAGCCTCCCTCCACATCGTGACGAGGAATCCGGTATTGAAATCAAATATGTTGATGTTCTCGTCTTGAGATCGGCTGATAGCTAGAGCATAGGACCCGTTAGTACATCGTCCAAGTCGGGATACTTTATCTTGGTGCCTTTAGTAGATTCATTAAGAAAAGCAGGTTGCACGCATGCGCAGTCTTGTGTGGGCTACTCCTGAAGCAAGCTACAACCAGTGCTCAATGGTTCGTACATTCACCGGGCTAGCGTCTGGCATAGAGCCGGATGCATGAAGTTTAATGGAATGATCGACACTGTGCGGTCAACGAGTGATGGTGACACTCGGATTCTATTCGGGAAGTAGTTGACCCAAACCCCTCAGTGACGTGCAAATCAGCGTTAGCTTGGCTTCCTAGGACCTTGAGCCGACACACTTCGATTTCTGGAACAATGTTTTAAATGCTGGCGCATAATGGCCACTGCAGTACTATTATTGCGAATTTTGAAAATCAGCATACGTCTGTTTCATCGTCCTTTCAGCTTCAATACTTAAGACTGTGCTCAGGGGAATGTATTATCTCTGATGAAGTAGCCCTCCTTGAATTTGGAATTGGGAGCGTTCGGTAGCTCTGTGATGAACGCACTCCAGGCAACATCACACATAGTTCCAATTGCCGACATTACTACCGTGGCTGTTTTTATTCGCCATGACAGAGGTTTGCCCAGGTGGCGATCATGGGCAGTTGGGATAGACTAGTGTAATTCATGCGGGATACTCCCGGAATGTGGGGAGTTCAAGCTACCCCAGCTTGTGAACCTCAACCCCATGCACTTACCCCATCTTCAGGAGGGTTGACAACCTGGGCATCCGCTCATGAATACCCCATAACGACCTGCATACAACCACAAGTGGTACACTCAAACCCACGATCAGAGCAATTTGAAGCAATTCAGATACACTTCACGGAGATGGCTCCTAGATCTTCAACCCATTTGCAAGACAAGCTAGAGGAGTCGCCTCAAGTTGAGCACAGAATAAAGAAAGAGCCCAGTCATGTTGACGCCGTCTTCGATCCACAGGCAGAAAAGAAGCTCCTCCGGAAGTGTGATCTGCATATACTTCCAAGTCTTGCACTGATTTATTTTCTCTCCTTCATGGATCGCACAAATATTGGTAATTTCTGAGAGCCAGGAAGCCCTCGCAACACTTTACTCGACTGTGAAGTTGACTGACCGTTACACAGGTAATGCGAGAATTCAGGGCATGACTGCCGATCTTCAAATGAAAGGTTCAGATTATAATACTGCTTTATTTGTTTTTTTCATTCCCGTAAGTAGGCTGACAAATGATGCTTTTTCAGCAGTCAGAACGAAATTTAGATCTGATTATTCTAGTACATTATCTTCGAGGTTCCGTCTAACCTCGTAATAAAACGCGTTGCGCCGTCGACCTGGCTTAGCTCGATTACCACTTTGTGGGGTTAGTGTTTTCATATGATTCTTGGTATTCGATAAGCTCCTTGTTAACCATGCCTATAACCCTAGGGATCTCTACAGTCGGCATGGGTTTGGTCAAAAATAATGCTGGTCTAATTGGGTGCAGATTCCTACTCGGCTTGTTCGAAGCAGGTATCGTCCCAGGTTAGTATCCCCCCACTATGAAGAGGGAAGTCAGGACCATGGTCCATTAATGCTTATATTGACAGGCTGCATCTACTTGATCAGCATGTATTATCAGCGCTATGAGGTTCAGTGGCGAATGTCGCTTTTCTTCTGCGCGAGTATCATGGCTGGCGCATTTTCTGGCCTTCTTGCATTCGCAATTGCTCATATGGATGGAGCAGGTGGATACGGAGCTTGGCGGTGGTGAGTCAAAATGCAGCTATATCTCTTTTGTAGTTTCCAGGTGTTTCTTTGATTTTTAGCGTATATATCCTAACTTGTGGTCAGGATCTTTATTATTGAAGGATGTCTCACGGTACTCGTTGGCATCATATCGAAGTGGTGGATCGCCGACTGGCCGGAGACAGCCAGTTTTCTTAATG